TTTTTTTTTTTTGCCCTTAATTTTATATAAATATAGATTTTGTGACATATAAATCCAGAAAACCCTCACATTTGTGAGAACGAACAATGAATATGAAGATCCCAAATTGCTATGTAAGTATTTAAGTCTCTGTTGTTGATTTGATTAGATTATTCGAATCAACCTCTTGATGAATCATGTGTTTGAGTGTTTCTGTGTGTAATCCTTTTGTATTGTGTTGGAATTCCCAATTTTTTTGAAACCAATTCGGTGTCAACAAATGATCAAGAGCTTAATTTGCAAAGTCTTGATATGTTATCTATGATGTGTTTAGATATTCGATTCATAGTTTACTCGAAAAAATTTCTCCTGTTGATGTAGTGTTCTTGATTGAGAACTCGATCTAAACGAAGTTGAATTAATGGCAGAAACCGAAGGTCCTGGACTTGTTGGATGAAATCTACGAGCTTGATGACGAAGTTCTGTACACTAACACTTTGCCAAGATGGCTCTCTGCAGATGAAGCAGACTATCGAAACTCTCCTCTTACAATAGTACTTGAAAGCGTATGCTCATATCGTTTATTAGTAGTTATCGTCGATTTTTTAATTCTCCTCTTACAACAACTGATTGTTTAAGAAAACCCTACCTTTTGTAACTAAGAACACGGAGAACCCGAAGGGCGTCGCAATGGTATTCTCTGTCTTTTCTTTGTCTATTCGTAATGGTGTTCGCTCTGATGTGTGAGTGCTGTTACTCAATTCTTGTGATTATTCAATTAGTTGCTGTTGTTGAATCAGCTGTCTATGTATCGGTAGGTTGCATTCGGATTTAGGCTTGAAATTAGCTGTTCCTTGAAGCTATAGAAAAATAATTTCATATGCGAGTGTGTGTTTCTGTGTGTGATTGATTGTTGTAATGTATGATGTTTTGTGATGTTTGATTGATGGTTTACCTGATAGAGAACTCAATCAAAAGAACTGTAATTAATTTTCAGGATGGTGCAGATGGAGGGGGCCATCATTTGTCTCCTCTTACCATAATATTTGAAAGTGTATGCTCCTATCTTTTACAAGTAGTGGCGTGGGATTTTATTGTGGCACTGAATGTGTATGTATGTATGTATGTATGTATGTATGTATGTGGTGCAGGAGAAGACGCAGGAGGAGCTCATGGATATGGTCCAGCACCTCGTAAAAGAACATCCCGAACTCATCCCATCAGCAAAAGAACTTCTGGAGGCCCTTCATTGTGCTTGTGATGCAAACAAGCATGCTCAAAAAGCGATGGAGCTTTTGAAAAACCAACACGTTTGCGAAGGTCTCGTGAAGACTTTTGCTGAGGGTTACGCTGTTCACCGGACTGTAAACATGCTGGCAGAGAAGGTGCTGGAGTGTAGAACGGTTGCTAATAGGGTGGCTCGTATTAGACGAGATCCCTTGTTGGGTAAATGTGTCTCGGCCAAAGGGGACGTAGATATAATGAGGTTGGTTTGTCTCTATCTATTCTATTCACATGATGAGTAGTTTCTACAAATTTGTCATTGTTGTGAATAGAATAACCAAAGTGCTTGGACTCGATAATATGTTGATTAAACATGATATCGTTACAATTTTCACAGTTTAGATCGATGCGTAGATGGAAGCATGTACAGTCCTGATTATTACCTGTTTTTTGTTTTTTTCTTTAATTTGTGAAGGGGAGCCTTGTGCATTTTAGTCGGATACTGGATTGACCGAAGACTGGAAAGATGGCTTACTAAAAAGGCCTTTAACCTCAGTACGTGCATGAAAAAATTATTCCCAACAGATTGTCTCTTTCTAATGTTTAATCGAATAAACATTTGATCAATGCTTGGAATTCCAGTGTTGTCTCTAATTTCTTGTTATTATTTCTTATTGTTGTGCGTGCAGTCGCCTCAAATTCGCAGCAATTCACAAATCCACCGCTTTGTGAAATTTCCGACCTCAACGATGAAGTTCCGTACACTAACACTGGGCCAAGTGGGCTAGTGCATAATAAGCTCTCGGTAGATGAAGCAGACCGTATATTTTCTCCTCTTACCATAATACTTGAAAGAGTATGCTCAATATCGTTTATTAGTAGTGACGTGGGATTTTATTTGTCGGTTTCTTGATTCTACATTTGTACCACTGAATTTATGTTTGTATATGGTGCAGGAGAAGATACAGGAGGAGCTCATCGATATGGTCCAGCCCCTCGTAAAAGAACATCCCGAACTCATCTCATCGGCAAAAGAACTTCTGGAGGCCCTTGAGTGTGATGAAAACAAGCATGCTGAAAAAGCCATGGAGCTTTTGAAAAACCAACACGTTCGCGAAGGTCTCGTGAAAACTTTTGCTGAGGGTTACGCTGTTTACCGGACTGTAAACATGCTGGCAGAGAACGTGCTGGAGTGTAGAACCGTTGCTAATAGGGTGGCTCGTATTAAAAGAGATCCCTTGTTGGATAAATGTGTCTCGGCCAAAGGGGACGTAGATATAATGAGGTTGGTTTGTTCTATCTATTTTATTCACGTGACGAGTTGTACAATTTTCATGGTTTAGATCGATGTGTGGATAGAATGGAAGCATGTATAGTCCTGATTATTACCTGTTTTTTTTTTTTTTCCTTTGATTTGTGAAGGGGAGCTTTGTGCATTTTACTCGGATACTGGATTGATCGAAGAATGGAAAGATGGCTTAATGAACGGGCCTTTAAACTCAGTACGTGCATGAAAAAATAATTCCCAACAGATTGTCTCTTTCTAATGTTTAATCGAATAAAGATTTGATCAATGCTCGGAATTGCAGTCTTGTCTCTAATATTTCTTGTTTTTATTTCTTATTGTTGCGCTTGCAGTCCCCCCAAATTCGCAGCAATACACAAATCCGCCGCCACCGCCGTATTAGGGCTACGAACAAGATGTCTCAGTGCTCGTTGATGGAGTTGGCTGTGGGTGTTCCGTTTATGCTTTTTTTTGGTGTTGTATAGTTGGGCATACCAGTTGCTGAATATTCTGAATCCTTATGAATAGTTACAACTTCATCATGCAATTTAATTCGATGCCTGCGCGCCACAAACCGTTTTCTTAATAATTTCATATGTTTTCTGTCAATATTCTAACCGTGTTTATTTGATCTGGAGTCGAGCTTATTTGGGTTCATTTTTCAAATTTTCCCAGTACATTATGTTGCTTTTTTTTTTTTTTAATATTTTCCAGAAACAAGAAATAGAATGTGAAGAGAAACTAAGTCATCTTTCAGATTTGTATGCTTAACAAACACCCTTTCCAAAGTAGTGCATTTTTCAATAGTGAAACAAATGGAAAAAAGGCATACTTGTTAATGAAAGATGATTGGAGTGTTTGGTAATTAAGCTAAACCTCAGGGGTGATTTTGTAAGAAGAACTTGGGCCCCAAATGATACTTTTCTTCTTTGTTGTGGCTTATTCTAAAAGAGAAGGAAAGGAACAACACAAATATTCCATTGAATTGAAAATGAAACAGCAAATGTATACAACACTTCAAGAAGAGAATGTCTCCTGACAAAGAATGGAACCTTTTTCCTCATGTTTATATATATATATAGACACACACACACACAATAATTATTTCTTGAACTCAAGAATGATGTATTAAAGCAGAAAATAAAATTATCTTTTTCATTTTTGCTAATAAACTTTAATCAGCCATGGCCTCTGGTGCAGGCAAATCAACAGCTCTCGTCTTTCTAACCGCGAACGTTATCCTCTACTTCATAATCATCGTCTTTTCATCGTGGGCCGTCAATCATGGCATCGAACAATCTCGTTACACGGGTACATAAATTCTAATAAATTGCATAAAGACCCCAACTATTAAGGAAATTCATTTCAAGCCTCAACAGGGGTGTATTGTAATATTATTACCTTCAAGAGTTGAATATGTTTATTTTGCAATTCATCTAAATTTGAGGGGTGCTTTTTCTAGTTGCCTCAAATCAGAAAAAGTTTGCCATTTGATACTATAGCCTTTTTTTTTTTTTTTTTTACTCATTCTATTATTTTTGCAGCATCTGTTCTTCGCTACCGGCTCACATTTTCCCTATATATTTCCCGTTCGGCAACATGGCTACCGGTTTTGTAGTCATCTTCTCGCTTTTAGCCGGGGTTGTCGGATTTACGACATCAATTACCGGCATTTATAACGTGAAACAATGGAATGCTCCAAATCTACATGCAGCTGCTTCATCTTCTCTTGTGGCATGGTTACTCACACTTCTTGCCATGGGGTAACATATGTTTTGTTATTTACACTTCTTGGCCCTTCTTTTTTTCATGTAATTCGATTTCGGTCCCTCTCGTTCTGCTCTCATGAACAACAAACTCTGTTTTGTGATGCAGGGTGGCCTGCAATGAGATATCTATAGGCTGGATAGAATCAAACTTAGTAAGTTTGTTTTTGTTTTTCCCAATAATCTCTTAACAACAAAATTAATTTCTAAAAATTGTTAAATTTTTCTCTTGAGAACTAACTATGTATTTATTTATTTATTTTTTTAATTTACACAGAGAATATTGGAGATAGCATTGATTTTTGTGAGTGTATCTCATCTATTCAGCACTGTTGCTATCCACATTGGTGTTGCTGATGTAGTTGCTTCAACCACTCCTATGATCATTTAATTTTTATGAATAGATTAAATTAAAAGTATGGACGAGAATTTGAATTGCTTGTGATTTTTCTTGGTGGACATCATGTAAATCAGTGGCAGCAGTTGTATACACATTAGTAATTTGTCATGGTAAAACTGTAAAAGTTTAAATTTATCATCCTTATATAAAATTTGGGAAATGCATTGTGTGTTTAAGACCTTCTCCATCCGTATTGCGAAACGTAAAATTTGCAGTAAGAGTTGCTCCAATCGATCCCCAAAAACAAACGCAAAATGTGATTCTCTCTCTCTCTCTCTCTCTCTCTCTCTCTCTCTCTCTCTCTCTCTCTCTCTCTCTCTCTCTCTCTCCTCGGTTGGACGCATATGTGCGTCCGAACGCAAATTATGCGTTCAATCTTCTTTTTTTTCCCCATTTTAGTCTTGTAACTTTTATTAATTTGTAAATTGACCATGTTTTTCTTTTTAAATTCCTTTAGTTTTAAATAGTAAACTAATAAAATGGTCTTTATTGACAAATGTGTTTAAAAAATATTTTTTTTTTTTTACTTTCATGAAAATTAGATAATATGATATTTAAATAATAAATATCATATTATTTTATATTTGTTTATAATAGAGTAACATATTAATTTTATATTTTCACAATAATAGTGTAAAATATTAAATAAAATCTAATTTCATGAAAATTAGATAGTGTAATATTTAAAATATTGAATATGATATTTATCCTATAATTTTATATATATCACAATAATAGTGTAAAACATACATGTTATTTATGGTACTTTTATTTAACAATAACAATAAATTACAACAACATTACTAATATAGAATGAAATAAGATTAAAACATGATAGATCTCGATTTAAGAAAAAAATAAAACAAATAACTAGCGCTGAAAACGAAATATAACATCACACAATATGAAGTGAAATAGATTTCACCCGGGCTCCTTCAGCTCGACTGGCCTCCGTACCTGCAAGAACCTAACGCCAGGGGTGGCCCCGGCGTCGGGCCTTCGATGCCTAAGTCAGTGCTCCGTCGAGAGAGAGAGAGAGAAAGTGTAGTAATGAAATGAGTAGAGAATGGAGAGAATGAGATACCTTGGCCCCATTTTATAGGGGGAGTGTACCTTTTGGGCCCAAGTTGGGCTTGACCCATATCGTTATGCTTAGATGCCTTAGTGGGCTTATCCTTCCATATGTATTCGCTTTGTCCATTAACCCAATCCAAGATAATATCCTATATCATCTAGTCCCCCCTACTCTGGTCGAGTAAGCATGACTCGATCCAAGAGTGAAAATTCCTCTTCGGATTGTTTTTGTCGACCTGCCACTGAGGTTACCATTTAAATAAATCCTCGACAACCAAATAATTATCAATCCTCCAAATGAGCATCGGGACCCCAAATGAATACCAAATGACCACTAATATAAAAAAATCGAGTGACCCACCACTGGGGTCGAACACCGAGAATCGAGAGACCGTTGAGGTCGAAAACCGAAAATCGAGCATCGGGAGACCGTTGAGATCGAAAACCGAAAATCGAGAATCGAGAGACCGTTGAGGTCGAAAACCGAAAATCGAGCATCGAGAGACCGTTGAGGTCGAAAGCCGAGAACCGAGAATCGAGAGACCTGCCTCTGAGGTCGAACGCCGAAAATCGAGAATCGAGAGACCGTTGAGGTCGAAAACCAAAAATCGAGCATCGGGAGACCGTTTAGATCGAAAACCAAAAATCGAGAGACCGTTGAGGTCGAAAACCAAAAATCGAGCATCGGGAGACCGTTGAGATCGAAAACCGAAAATCGAGAATCGAGAGACCGTTGAGGTCGAAAACCGAAAATCTAGCATCGAGAGACTGTTGAGGTCGAAAGCCGAGAACCGAGAATCGAGAGACCTGTCTCTGAGGTCGAACGCCGAAAGTCAAACGACAATTGAGGTCTAAAATTGAATGTCCGTCAAAACCGAAAACTGAAGTTAAACACCAAAACTGAAGTCGAAAACCGAGACTGAAGTTAAACACCATATGTCCGATCTCCCAAAGCCTTGAATTTGAAAATTTGAACTTAAATCTTCTACTTTTTCAGTCACCTTGTTCGAGCTCTCTCCTCTCAATGATGGGCCTTTCCGGTTACCTCATCCTATCGCCCTCCAGTTCAAACTTTAAAATTTCAGCCTAATGTATGTCCTCTCAAAACCCAAACGACCTGACTTCGTGAACTGCTCTGAATGAACTCCCTCGACCTGCCACCGAGGTCGAAAAATCAATTCAACAAGACCAAACCAAGCAAAAACCATCAATCTGCTCGTGTCGTAATGAATCCCATCTCCCTGCCCTTGAAGTCGAAAAATCAATTCGAGAAAACCAAGATAAAATGCAATCAACCTGCTCGTGCAGTAATGAATACCATCGACCTACCACCGAGGTCTGCTCGATCTATCTGTAATGAATCCCTGAGTTTGCTCGAAATGAGCCTCCTCTATCTGCCACACTGCTCGAACTATCCATAACGAGTTTGATTGACCTTCCACTGCTCAACATATCCGGTAACGCATTTGATCGACCTGCCACTGAGATCAAAATCACAAATATAGCATAACCAAACCACATAAAACCCTCCATCTGCTCAAACTATCCACAATAAACTCCCGCCACTTGGATTAAAAGCACAAATACAACAAAACCAAATCCAATAAATCCATAAACCTGCTCGAACAATAACGAGTACCATCTCGACCTGCCACTGAGGTCTAAATATAAATTCGACAAAATCATAATGAAATAAGGAATCATCAATCTGCTCGAACCATCATGAATACTATCGACCTGCCACTGAGGTCGGAGAAATCAAATCCAACAAAACCTGAATCAAATAAATATCGTCGACCTGCCACCGAGGTCTGCTCGAGCTATATCCGTAATGAATCCAATTTATCTTCCCTTGAAGTCAAAAAATAAATTCGATGAAACCATAATCAAATAAAGATCATCGACCTGCCACCGAGATTCGCTCGAACTATCCGTAACGAGTTTGATCGACCCGTCACTGAAGTCCTCGAATAAGCTCCCTGAATCACTCTAAATGAACTCCATCGACCTGCCACCGAGGTCTGCAAATAAACTCCGTGAATTGCACCAAATAAACTCCCTCGAATCTCGACCTGCCACTTAGGTCGAACAATGAATTCGACAAAATCAAAACCATGTAAAGATCCTCGACCTGCTTCTGAGGTCTCCAATAAGCTCCATATCTTCAACGACCCAACATTAGAATCGACCACCCAGCCCGGAGGCCTTAGTCATGGTGGATTTTTTTGTCTTCGAACACATGCCCACCCTCGAAGGAGTGGTCGATACATGCGACCACCCAGCCCGGAGGCCTTTGTCATGGTGGATTTTTTGTCTTCGAACACATGCCCACCCTCGAAGGAGTGGTCGATACATGCGACCACCCAGCTCGGAGGCCTTAGTCATGGTGGATTTTTTGTTTTCGAACACATGCCTACCCTCGAAGGAGTGGTTGATACATGCGACCACCCAGCCCGGAGGCCTTAGTCATGGTGGATTTTTTGTCTTCGAACACATGCCCACCCTCGAAGGAGTGGTCGATACATGCGACCACCCAACTCGGAGGCCTTAGTCATGGTGGATTTTTCCCTCGATCATTCTCATTAGCCTCATCAAATGCATAGTTATATCGAACAAAATAAAATAAATCAAGTATATTTTTCGACCTCCCTTTCATGTTTGTGCATGACGACCTGTGTTGTCGTTCACTTCCCGCTGTCCACTCCTCACTGCAACCATGCAGTCTACGTAGATAGCCGATCCTCCTGTTCGTGTATTGTTTATTGTGTTTTTGTGCTTATTTTTATGTGTTTTATGTGCCTTAGTCGAGTCTTTTTAGGTTTGTTTTAGTGTCGACCGGTCCATTTTATCGTGTTTTGTGTATTTTTTTATTGTATAGTGCTTTCGTATTTCTGCGCGTTTTCTCTTTTGTTTTGGTGTTGTTTAGGTCCAACTTGTCGAGAAGAGGAGACGGGCCATCCGAGCCATCCAACCCGAAAAATCCGACCAAGCCATACCGGAACGAAGAGAATTCAATGAGGAGAATTTTGGTCCAAGTTTCGTGCGAATCGGAGTTGTGTGCGAGAAATTAGAGCGAACCGAACTTCAAGGGGTCACCGGGACCAAGCCAATGCACGCCCGCGCCCGCGGAACCGTCCGCGAGCTCGGGAGTGTCCAGCCCTCACGCCCGCGTGCCCGCGGAGAGCCCCGCGAGCTCGGGAGTGCTCCAAGCCCTCACCCCAGCGCGCCCGCGCGCCCGCGACCTGCTTCGGGAGCTCGGGAGTGTGTCCTGCTGTGCCCGCGCGCCCGCGAAGTCCCCGACGACCTCGAGAGTGCCCCCGCACCCATGCACATGTGCCCGCGCGCCCGTGAATCCTCCCGCGAGCTCGGGAGTGTCCTATTAAATGTGCGTGTTTTTAGTGTGTGTTTATGGTGTAGCTATATAAAGACATTTTGCTTTGTATTTTTAGAACAACTCTCATTTCCCAACTTTTAAGTTGGGAATTCCTCTCTATTTTCTTTTTTCCTTTTTTATGCTTTGGTTTGGAGCTTTTGAATCAAGTTTTCCGGTGAATTTCCGGCGACGTTATTTCGAGTAAAGTTTCGAGCTTTTGACTCCGGTTTTCTTCCCAAGTGCGTGTGAGA